AGCTATTTCTTATTTTATTGCTTATTATTGACTGCTTTTGAACTATATTATGTGCATTCTTCTGCGACTTGCTTGTGCTCAATGCCATGATGTTGAGATCATCCAGGTTGCTGCTTAGAGCTAAGTTATTTCATTTCGCCAGCATTCCACTACATTTATTCATTCTACTCTTAGTGACCATTCCTCCTTCCTTCTTCCTAAATTGGAGACAATGTGTCTCTTCCAAAGAGTCCAGTAAGATTAACACAAAAATAAAAACAAACAAAAAACAGGAAGTAAGATTCTACTTGAGTATGTATTACTCTTTGTTTGTAGAACTTATAAAAGTCTGGCATATCTCTCCTTGGAACTCCTTGTTCTTGAGTGTAGGGCTTGGCTGGGCTTATCATATCATGTTCAATTTGATTTGCTATGACATTCATCTATCTGTACTCTATGTGGTGCTTTGTTTTTTCAAATCACCTGTTCTTCCACGTGATTGAAGGGCTCCAGCTACTTTGGAGACCATCCTGGCCCAGCTTGCCCTCACTCTGCTGGTTAAGAGCATTAATTCAGTGCACTTCTGTGTTAATAAGTCTCAGACTCTGTTCTAGGACATTTGGCAACAGACTTCATAGGAGAATTTCTTTGCATATCCCAAACACATGGCTTGACCTTTATAATCCAGTTGATCTGAACATAAGGTAAGTTTGACAGTGATAACTCTTGTGACTCATCTTCATTATTAGACTTTTTTCTTTGGTGTATTAAAGCATCAATTTCATAAATGAAACCATGGTCAAAATTATTTTTGTCAAAATCATAAATGAAATTCAGTTATCATAGCTAAGCTATGGAAACAGCCAAGATGCCTTATTACTGATGAATGGAGTATACAATTTATATTCATTCAGTCATAAAGAAGAATGAAATTTTGTTGTTTGCAGGTAAATGGATGAAATTGGAGAACATCATATTAAATGAAATTAGCCAAGTTAAGAAAGCTAAAGGTCATGGATATGTGGAATACAGACCCACTACAAATACAAGCAATATTATGAAAAACAGGTCATGATAGGGGGAGGTCATTACCTGGAGAGGGAGGGTAAAAGAAATAAGTTAAGAAGGTGAATATGGTTGATGTACTTCCTATACAAAAATGAATATAGAATTTTTATACCTGTTGAAATTACCATAAGATGGGGACTGAGGTAGAAAGGAGAAAAATACAGGGGATGAACCAATTTGGGTTATAATACATGTACACATGGAAATGCCACAATGAAACACCTTGTATAGCTATCTTAAACAATCAAAAATGTCTTCTTTTTTTTCCTAAAAACAGAACAGATTGCAAAACAGGTCCTGTCTGGGGATTGTACCAGTGGGAGGGGGGAGACTATAAGGAAAGTGTGGAGGAGGTGAATATGGTAGAAATATTATGTACTCATGTATGAAAATGGAAAAATGACACCTGTTGAGACCATTCCAGAAATGGGGGGAAGAGAAGATAAAAAATGTTGGAGAAGGTGAATTCAACTATGATATATTGTAAGAACTTTTGTAAATGTCACAATGTACCCTCGGTACAATGATAATAAAAAAATTTTTTTAAAGAAATTTAGCGTTGTTCCCTTCATTTCTTGAGCCCAGTTGGAGACTATTTCTCAGCTCCTGTTGATACATCATTTATCCATTCATCCTTCCACACAAGAAAGCTCAGAGAACCTGATATAACGCCACAGACCATTGGTACACAGCTGTTCCAGTCTCATTCTTTAATATAGTTTCAAGAGTATTACAACTATTTCCACCTTCCTACAGAAAAAGGCAAGAAAATATTCCTGAGAATGATGGGACATTTTGCTTCTCTGACATTTCTCTTAAGTTTCTTTTCCTTTTTGTTGTTTATTTCATAGGCAGGTTTCAATTCTGAATAATTACCATATGTTTGCTTCCCCTTGAGAACAACCTGCATTGCAAAAACTCGTTTTTAAGATTCTTTGCTTAAAGCAATCAATTCCATAAATTATACATCTGTTACTTGATATGCATTTCCAACAGGTAGTCAAGGCCACCCCACATGAATACTCATTTTCACATTAAAGGTGGAAGAAACCTAGAAACCTTTTTTTTTTAACCCCCTCTGCCAAGAGGCAGACACTCTTCTTTTGAAAACTCTACTTATTCCTGGTGGAAAGGTTTATTTCCATCTTCAGAAGAATCATTTTAGATTTGTGTAAACAGTTCGGCAAACTGCTCTTTAAAGTGATAAATAAATATCAAATTAAACTTGCAATTAAAGTTTACTAAAAATATAGGTTGCTATAATTTTGTTGGTGATAAAAGTACAGAAGTAGAAATGATTAATGATGTTTACTAAATATGCAGCTGCGTTCAGAGCACACAAGTCTATAGAGTTACCCCTTTCTAGACACAGAAAGACATTACCCTGGGAAATGATGTCTAAATGCAGTTCATATCCAGTCAGTCCTTGAGCACTCCCTTCATCCCTTGGCACTCTGTCGCACAAGGACAACTGGAGTAGAGTGCTAGAATGACCCATTTATCTCTCCTTTCCCTTAATTCTGTTGTTTTGTTCACCAGATTTTACTTATTAAAAAATGCCATCAGTGTGACAGATTATCATGTGGAAATAATAAGAATTGATGAGCCTTTTGCTAGAATTCAGACTTCTTTCTTAAATTCTGATATCTTATCTTGGCATTGTAAAGTGTCTCATGAAATTATGAAAAAATAAAATCACCAAATATTTGATTTGTAGGCAAAAGACCCGGGTTTAGCCAGTTCATCTATAACTTAAAATAAGAAAACCTACAAATTACAAATAACTCAATTTGTAGGTTTTCTTATTTAAGGTATCCTTCAATTTTTTAAAATCTGTGTTTTTCAAAACTGGTTAGCAGTCTGCAAAAGACTGAAACTAGATCCACGTTTATCACCCTATACCAGTATTAACTCAAAATGGATCAAAGACCTTAATATCAGACCCCAAACCCTAAAGTTGGTACAGGAAAGAGTAGGAAATACTTTAGAACTAATAGGTATAGGCAAGAACTTTCTCAATGGAACCCCAGCAGCTCAGCAACTAAGAGATAGCATAGATAAATGGGACTTCATAAAACTAAAAAGCTTCTGCTCAATAAAAGAAATGGTCTCTAAACTGTAGAGAACACCCACAGAGTGGGAGAAAATATTTGCCAGCTACACATCAGACAAAGGACTGATAACCAGAATATATAGGGAACTCAAAAAACTACATTCTCCCAAAATTAATGACCCAATAAAGAAATGGGCAAATGAACTAAACAGAACTTTCTCCAAAGAAGAAATACAAATAACACATAAAAAAATGCTCACCATCTCTAGCTATAAAGGAAATGCAAATTAAAACCACACTAAGATTCCACCTCACCCCTGTTAGAATAGCCATCATCAGCAACACCACCACCAACAGGTGTTGGTGAGGAAGTGGGGAAAAAGGAACCCTCTTACACTGCTGGTGGGAATGTAAACTAGTACAACCACTCTGGAAAAAAATCTGGAGGCTTCTTAAAAATCTAAACATAGATCTGCTATATAATCCAGCAATACCACTCTTGGGGATATACCCAAAAGAATGTGACTCAGGTTACTCCAGAGGCACCTGCACACCCATGTTTATTACAGCACTATTCACAATAGCCAAGTTATGGAAACAGCCAAGATGCTCCACTACTGACGAATGGATTAAGAAAATGTAGTATTTATACACAGTGGAATTTTATGCAGCCATGAAGAAGAATGAAATCCTATTATTTGCAAGTAAATGGATGGAACTGGAGAACATAATTCTGAGTGAGGTTAGCCTGGCCCAAAAAACCAAAAATCGTATGTTCTCCCTCATATGCAGACATTAGATCAAGGGCAAACACAACAAGGGGATTGGACTTTGATCACATGATAAAGTGAGAGCACACAAGGGAGGGGTGAGGATAGGTAAGACACCCAAAAAACTAGATAGCGTTTGTTGCCCTCAATGCAGAGAACCTAAGGCAGATACTTTAAAGCAACTGAGGCCAATAGGAGAAGGGGACCAGGAACTAGAGAAAAGGTGAGATCAAAAAGAATTAACCTAGAAGGTAACACACATGCAGAGGAAATTAATGTGAGTCAACTCCTGTATAGCTATCCTTATCTCAACCAGCAAAAACCCTTGTTCCTTCCTATTATGGCTTATACTCTCTCTACAACAAAATTAGAAATAAGGGCAAAATAGTTTCTGCCGGGTATCGAGGGGGTGGGGGGGAGAGGGAGGGGGTGGAGTGGGTGGTAAGGGAGGGGGTGGGGGCAGGGGGGAGAAATGACCCAAGCATTGTATGCACATATGAATAAAAATAAAATAAAATAAAGTCCGTGTTTTACAATTAGTCTCAAATCATATTTCTTTGTCTATTCTTCATTCTTTTTTTTTTTTATCCTGCATAGGTTTTTATTGAACTTTTAGGAGGCTTGGAATATTAAATCCCTCTGAAGACCAGCCTATAGGTCTTGTGAAAGTTAGTGTTAGCACATGGCCCAACAATCACTCTGTGCATGTGATTACCCACGACCACCTAAGAAAAAACCGTGGTGGGGAAAAAGTACAAGAAGATTATAACGACATGGTAATACACAAAAGACAACTCCTGGTCAAAGTAGCCTACCTTAACCTGATTAAAACAGACGGTTTTTTTTCTTTACTTGGAATCAGGTGCAGGGGGTCATAAATGGTGCTAGGCATTCCAGAGCCAGGTTCATCTTGAGGAAAATCTGGACATATTGGGCCTGGTGCTGGGGGTGGGGGTGGGGTGGGAGGGGGCTCTCAGGTGTTTCAGGAGGATGTGGAGTCAAAAAGCCCAGGCCTAGAACAGTAGCTTGCAGCATCTAGGCAAAGAGGCCATGAGAGAAAGAGAATAGGGCTTTTAGCACTTAGGCCATTCTAGAGTTCCCTGGCCATAGGTTCTTTTTCTTTTTTCCTTTGGGGGTACTAGGGTTTGAACTTAGGACCTCCTGCTTGCTAGGCAGGTGCTCTACCACTTGAACCATGTCCCCAGTCCTGAGGCCATAGGTTCTTAGCCAAGAATCTGGACAGCTCTAAGAATGCCAGGTCCTGAGAGGACAGCTGGGCTGGGAACTGGTTCCCAGACTCCCAGAGGGCTCTGCTTGGCTCATCTGTCTTGCCTTGATCCTCAGCACCTAAAGGCTGGAAAGCATGGGTTCGCAGAGCGATTGCAGCCCACTATAAAGGTGGGTGATGGGTGAACATGTCTAGAAGGAGGGGTGGCAGAGGGGCAGGGCAGAGCTCACCAACACTTCCCTGTGTCTTACAGTTCATCCACGACCAGGACAGGATGAAGCACAGGCAGGTGAGATCCCCATCCCCATCTCTGAAGTCTTCCCTGATCCCCACAGCAATGGCCTTCTGGGAAAGGGGCCCAAAACCTTTGATTTCCCAACCTCCTCCCTCCCTTCAGCTGAGGAGCCCCAGAAGCTAGTTCATGAGCATTCTCGGAGCTTAGTTCTCTCTGAAACCCAGGGATGGGGCCCCAGAGAGACCCTGCCTTCCCCAAGAAGCCAGGCCAGCACCCCCACCAAATCAGTGGCCCCAGTTCTCAGTCTCCTCCAAGAAGCACCTGTGACCTTTTCTTCCCCCTCTATATTCCATGGGTTTTCCTGCTCTGATCATTGTTCTTCAAATGGTTTTAATCTCTGCTCATCTTTTTCATTGCTTTTCCTCCCTCCCTCAGCACTGAAATCTCAGAACCTGAAACCCATCTCTGGTCCCTGCCCCATTCCTCATTCTCTCCATCCCTTAGCTCTGTCTCACCTGTGCTGCCAAGCTAAGCCCCTCTAAACCTCCATTTCCTTATCCCATCACTTTTGTGCTTGGCTTCCAGCCTCTGTGGGGTCTGATCTCAACCTCACTTCCCAGCACATCCTTATGTATTTTGCACACTTGCGGGGCTCACACACCTGTGCCCCAGTGCGCCTCTTCTGGACTTTGCACCTGCTGTTCACTCATCTCGAATCGCCTTCCATTTGGGAAGCCCAGTAGGCAAGGCAGGAGGATGGCTTATTCTAGGGCATTAGCAGCAGACATGGAAAGAAATGGATGGGTTTGGCTGTGGTTATGTACTTTGAAGATATAGGACTTGCTTGTGGGTGGTATGTGAAGAGTAAGAAAAAGGGAGGAATCATAAATGACTTCTAGATTTTTTTTTTTTTTTTTGAGACAAGAGTCTGTTGTAGTGCCCAGGCCAGTCTGAAACTCCTTGGCTCAAGGGCTCCCCCTGTTTGGTCTCCCCAGTATATGGGACTACTGATGTGGGCTCCTCACCCAGCTTTTTCACTTCTAGATTTTAAACTTGAATATCTCTGGGGATCATCATCCCCATTTCCTAATACAGGATTCAACAAGGAGGAAATAAGTTGGGAAATGTGTAAATTGATAATTAACTTTAGATGTCAAGTAATAAACAAGAATAAATGATAGAATACTTACCTGGCAGGGGAGATACCATGATCACGAAGATGGTTTTCCCAGGGCGAGGCTTATCCATTGCATTCCGGATGTGTGGACCCCTGCAATTTCCCCAAATGTGGGAAACTCGACTGCATAATTTGTGGTAGTGGGGGACTGCATTCACGCTCTCCCCTGGGAAAAAAAAAGAATAAATGATAGCAAAGTGAATTTCGCCAGTAGATGACTAGACATCTACCTGGCTCAGCCTAGGTGCAGACTGTAAAGCCAGAAGTCATGGTCAGGGAGCTGTTATTTAAAGCTGTAGGAGTGGTGAGATACCAGGGAAAGAAGGCCCCAGGAACGAAGCCCTGAGACCTGTGGCCTTCTAGAAGTAGGAAAGATAGGGAAGCTGGTGGAAGAGTCTGAGAAGACTCTGTTCTTCATTCTTGTAGAAAATCTTTATTTTAAGAAAAACAACTTTACAGAAAAAAACAAGAGATCCATAGAAATGATGTGAAATTGTGATATTTCAAATTTCATCCTGCTATAATCTAGTCATGTTCCTTGCAGTGTATAACCACTAACAGAAACAAAACCCCAGGTGAAAAAGTGATAAAAAGGGAGAGAAGGAGGAAGGGAGACAGTGGACGGGGAGAAAGAGAATGGAAGAAAAAAAAGGGGAGAAGTGTTAAAAGAAAGTGCTAGAAGAGAAAATTATTACTACTGTGACTGTTAAATCAGGAATTCTGGGTAGGAAGAAATGATAATATAGTAGGAAAAAAGAATATGGAAATAGAGAAAAAATTGTCATCTGACAAGCACAGGTACCAAGGCCACCAAACTGTGGCAATAATTTTGCCAATATTTAAACCTCAGAAATGTCAAATTAGGAAGATGCATAAAACTTCCCTTCCCAGAGGTGGCTTGGTGTGATGGCAAAGATGAAGATTAAGCAAACCAAAGGCCTAATCCAGAAGCTCAATTCTTCTTCTGGAATCTGGTTCCACCACTGAAGCCCAGGGTGACCTTGGCCATAACTTATTTACTCTCCTTTCCTCAAATGGGAAATGGTGATAAAGCATCCATCAACTCTACCCACATCAAAAGGTTACCTGAGGATCTAATGAGGTCATTTTTGTGTGATAGCTCATTGGAAGTTGAAAGCACCAGAGTGCCATGGAACATCTGAACATCTGACTGCAAGTAACCTGCCTGCTCTTCTGGGCAGGTCAGCCAGAAAGTCAGATACAAAAGACAACGGAGAAGGTGGTCACATTATTTATGAAGTTGATCCTCCTATTTGCAGTCTGATTTTTAAAGCCACCGTGGTGGTTTCTTGAATGCTTACTCTTACACAACAGAGTTTATCAATTATCATAAGCCTAAGAATCTACTTTTGTTTTTTTGGACAAAGTAGTTCTAAGAAGTATTGGGGCACTCATAGCTGAGATGTTTTTTCAGGGGTCCTTGCCATTTGGTACTCTAGTACAGAGCACTGTGAGATGACAAGACAAGAAAAACAGTTCACAAGGGCCTTCTGCATTCGTCTCTCTCATTGCCTGCTATTGAGTGACACAGAGCAAATGACAGAGATGGAGGCACAGCTTTAGCAAGAGAACCTGCCTGATGGCTCCTCTGTGACAAGCCAGCCAAGCCAGCCAAGAACCTCCTGTCATAGCCGGCCAGTTAGCAGCAGCAGGCAGACGTGGCTAGGACAAGGGCGATGCAGAATCAGAGCTGCTGACAATGCTTTCTCGCTTTTGACAGCAGCTCAAACTTCTGAGATTCCAGAGAGGAAATAGATATTTGGAAACAGATAGAACAAAAGGCTTTTCCTTCTGACTGCTCAGCATGTGGACTGAATTCTGGAGGATTAGAAAAAAAAAAAAAAGAACCATTGTTCATCCCCTCCCAGGGTTTAGTGAGTATTTTATCACATTTTTTTTAAATAAAATAGTCTTAGCCCAAAAGCTTTGTTTGCATGAGGGTGTGTGCTGTCCATGAGTGGAAATTTTCCATAATTTTTTCCATTCTGTTCTGCTCCTCCCTCCTTTGTTCAGCTATTCAGGGTCTTTGTCCATTGTGATCTGAACACGCTCTAATCCTAGGATCAACTGTATTTGAGATTTAAAACTTCAAAGATCCTCTTAATGGGGAAAAGTCAGAGTTCTTTTGGCATAGAACTAATAACTTGCCAAACATCTGAGGATCTGAATGACTTCTCACTTCCTTAGTCAATCAACCAAATTATGTGTGCTAAATTATTATTCGGCCAATATTATATCAAAGACACTACATACTTTTTTAAATTCTTCAATTCAGCAAATCAAATGATATGAACAATTTTGTCACTAAAGTGGTAAAATTTTTCTTGCACTTAAGTCTCTGTCGCACTTGTAGTCTTTCCCTACTTCTGCATCTGAGGCAGGTGTTGACAGCTGTTATTCTGTGGTGGGAATTTTTAGAAACACCAGCTCTGCTGGGTGGACAAATGTCTTCACCAAAAGAAATCGAAAATTGGTTGAGATAAGGAAGGCTTGATTTGAAAAGTGCCTTCCCCTTTATCTTACGTGTACTTTCTTTTCCTTTAGCTGCTCTCTGTTGTGAATTCTGTCTTTCTAGTCATGTGCCCTTCTAGACAGCAAAGCTTGTCATACTGGTACATACTCACACATACACACTCCTCCCTGACACAGAGCCACGGTCTTGCCATTTTCTAAGGAAACTCATATATTCAAGGATTCAGAGATACAAGTTGATGTCAGTCCTCTCTGAGAGGACAGACCAGAGGAACAGAAGGGAAGCAGTGCTGCCTGCTAACAGTGCTGTCCTCATATCGACCTGCTCCGCACTTGAAGGGCAGTGAATTCTTAAACCACAGAAATCATTTGCCATCATGAGCAGTGTTCCAGGCAGCCTGGAGAGCAAATTTTGAGGCTGTCTTTTCATTACCATGCAAGAGCCTACCACACTGCCTTTTCCTGCAACACGTTTTTAATCTTAAAAGCAGATTCAAATTCTTTGAAGACCCAACAGTGTATGTGGAGGGGTAGGAATAAAGAAAGAAACCTCAAACCTAAACAAATTTTCCTCTCTCTAGAAAAGCAATTGGTAAATAATGCACTCAAACTGTGAATATATTTTCACACTGTTAAGCATTTATGTATTAAAAAATAATATGTTTCTGGAAACAGTTCTTTGATAATCTCCCTAGGGTCAGAACATAAAAATGTATTAAATCCATATTCTATGGAAGCAATGCCTTGTAGGTAAGAGAAAAGAATTTGTCAGATGATCTTTGAAGAAAGAAGCTTGTATAATGGTATATACCTGCTTCCCTTTTTCTTTTCCTTCCTTCCTTCCTTCCTTTTTCCTTCCTTTCCTTCCTTCCTTCCTTCCTTCCTTCCCTTTCCTCCCTCTCTCCCTTCTTCCTTCCCTCCTTCCCTTCTTTCCCTTTCTCCCTCCCTCGTTTTCTTTCTTTTTCTTTCAACAGCATTTCACGGTGTGTATCAGTCTGGCCTTGAACTCAAAATCCTCCTTCCTGCCTCAGCCTCACAAGCACTACAATTACATGCACCACCACACTCAG